GCACACAGATTTGGCAATGAACCGAGCTGCTTTGTGCCACTCCCTGCAATCACGTTGTCCAGCTGAATGATTGCAACATGAAGCAGTTACTGAAAGGTTGTTTGGACATACTTAGTGACTCTACCTCCCACCAGGATCAGACTCACTAGCAGCTGTGTGGAGCTTTCCTGCTCCCTGCAGCGCCATGCAGGCTGTAAGACACTCTTTACGTGTGAATCACAAAGAAACATGAGGGCTATAATCACCTTCCACGTTTTCAGCTCATTTTTCCAATCAAGTTGAGAATTTTAGCACATCTAAGCAACAGGGAACAAAACTAATTGCTCTCCTCAAAGGACTGCGTGAAGTTGTGACAGCCCCAGGCCCTCAGCCCTCCTTATCTTGCCAACCAGAAGGAAACTTACTGTGCTTTTAGAAAAACTGCTTGTGAGTAAAAACAAAGTACACACTGAGGACAGTTACCAACATCTTCACATCCTCTTGATGTTTACTACATGACCAAAACATGGGCATTGTGAAACTGACAGCTAATAACACAGCTTTTGTACAGCAGAACTTCCAGGATCTTTCTGAGAACAGAAAGCAGTACAGAAGACAGAAACACTTCTCAGCCATGTGTTCCTCAGGGTTAACACCCCACATAACACTCTCTCAATATCAAAACACAGAATACAGTACAGGCAGAAACCCAGCTAATCTAGGCCTTACCAGTACTCAGACAGCGCGTTATCATTGCCACACACCACCCCACGGCTTTGGTGGAGAAGTCACATTTGCCCGTCTGGATCTACCACTGATAATATTTAAATATTAACCAACTTTTCTACTTGTATATATTAATATTTATCAATTTTGGTCAACCCCACATCTCCTTAGGTCTTAAGGGCATTAACCAAAGGTGTATGTTCTGCTCCTACGAGCATACATTTGAATATCTCAGCTTTAATACATCTCATGTACTTAGGCAGGGCTTAGTCTCTAGCGATTGCCATTTTTCATTGCCTATTAAGTGCCATTAAGTCATTATGGTGTCAAAACGACAACCCCACAACATCGCAGGCTGTCAGCTGAGCCCCCTGCACAGCACACACAGCTCTGGTTCGCACCGTGACACGGGGAGGCAGAAATTACTCATCTGACACCTTGCTCTTCGCAGACTTTTTGCAATCACATCACACAGGCGTTCGGAGAGCGCCAGCTCCTCTGGGTAGAGCTGCTCGTACGGCTGCCAGTCTGCGCGCACATGACTCTGGCTCTGCTAAAGATGGTATTTGAGAGGGATGGCTGCCAGCATTCACCAAGCAGCTCCACAAACTAACTGCTCGGCGTCAGCACAATCTGAGTGCGTGGAAGAGTTTGAAAGGACTGTGTTTTTATGAGCAAATGCTAGTTTGGTTGTATTAAAAAAGTACAGCGTCAATAAGGTGAGCAAGAACACGCGGAAAGGCAAGTTTAATGCTGAAAGATCAGCAGTGATAACGCAGATTAGTAGATCCAGTGCTGTGTCATGACATGGAATACTTTTTTCTATCTGTCAGTTTTATTCTTTAGAGGACAGGGTTCAGACAAATGCCTCACAAGTGTTTATTTTGAGAATCAAGGGAAATTCACGTTTTGCTGCCTGATAAACATGAACAGATTACCCACATTAATTAACCGAACACGTTAAGTTCCTCAGTTTTACAATTCCTTCACTTTTAGTGGAAAGACAACATCAGTATCAACTGCCTGTAAAACAACACTATTCGCTTTCAGTCTGCAAAGTTCTCTTAGCCTCGTGACTGACAACCAGCTTCTAAAAGCTCCTGAAGTAACATTTTTTTCATAAACTGTAATACCACTGTGTTACCTGGTGGTTTCAGTGACCACTGTGAAGAAGCTGGTAGAAAAAAAAGAAAAACAACAACAGAAAGATTCATTTCATCACCAAAACAGAAAAACTACTGCCAGTTATTTGGAACATCACAGAAATTCCAGGCTTGTACAAAGACTCTCAGCAGCACCAGGGGGTGTCACTCACCAACAAAAACAATATGACATCATCACACACTTATCTGCTTGCCAGTGATGGTGTCAGCTTTGTTTGTACAACAGTTGAGTACCGTATCATTCGTGTGCATCTTCTGCTTCTGCCACTCTAGAACCCATAATCACTTCACGTGGATGCGACAGTGTCCTGAAAACAAGATCACTACTATCCAATGTTACGTTTTATTTTTGGAAAGATACTGGATTTTACAAATACACCTACTTCTTCAAAAGGACTGCTACGATTCCTTTGCTGGTCTGCAGGCAGTAGATGCTGCTCTGCTTTCAAACGCACTGTCCTTAACAGGAGCTGATGGTTGGATTAACTGACCTTGTGGGGAACTGACACAGGCCTTCCTGCTTTCACTCACGGGCTTTTGGTCAGAGGACCAGTTTTGGATAATATTACTTGGAGATTTCTTCAAGCATGGCTCAGCAAATACTCTATTCTAATTTACTCGGGTTATTAATTGAATCCCCCACAACAGATCTGATTCAACAGCACTCCCCGAAGAGAAAACATTTTCTCTCCTTTCCTCAGAAAGCAAGGATCTGCTGATAGCTCTCCCTAAAAGAAACCTAAGAAGAAATTTTTAAACATATGCTGAGTATTCCCAACTGACCTGCCAATGCTGGGGTTAGCTTCATTAGAAGCAAGAACAAGTTCTGCTGTAACACACAAGCAGTGAAAAAAGAGTAGTCCAGAAGGTTTCCAAGGAAAAACACCCTTTAGCTCTATGCTTTAAGAAAATGAGTTTGACAGAGCCAACTTATAACTGCTGAACAAAGGAATTAAAAAAAAATAAACCTGAGTTTAATGAGCAGAGTAAATGAAATACTTCTCAGATAGTTATTAGCTAATAACAGCAGAGATTGCATGTGTGAGGGTGTAAAAGCTCTGAATACCTGGTTTTGGTCTTAGAGCGTAGACAAAATGCCATGGAAGAAACACACAAGTCCCTCCAGTTTAAGCTTCAGAGCATGAATCATCTAATGGCAGTGTATAGCAGAACATTCAAGCACGGCTCTGAGCTCATTCGTGGTATTCATTTGTTCCTTTGCTTTAGGGAATTGTATTAGTCTAAACGTTTCTTGGGATAACAAGTTGCTCAAATTCCATGAAACAAATTGCCTTTAACACTGTTCCTCCCGAAAAGTCTTAAATCTACCTTTTTCTTTCCTTGTCAGGGGTGAGCACTCTGTCATAAGTATAAGCTAATGCTGAAAAGCAGTACGTAACCACTAGACACAGTGTACAACCCTGGAAACATAAGGAGGCAAAATCATCACAGTGAAGTACGGTGCTCCAGAAGAACAATCACAAATACACAAAAAATGCCCAATTATTATGATTGGTATTATGAATGATTGCATTCAAAAAGAAAAAAAGTTTTTATTGCTCAAGAAAATTAGAGGAAAAAAGTTAATACAGTTCTGACAAAAAAATAAAAAAATCAGCCCCTATTCATGCTTTGCCATTAAGAAAATGATGATTACAAATAGGTCCCATTCCATCCAATTTCCTTAGCCTCTTTCCTTGCTAATGTAACCCAAATTCTCCCCCCTCCTGCTTATTTAAGGAAAGTAACAAAATCACAGGTTTCCCTAGGAAAGAGGGGGGAAGGAAGAAACGGTTGCTCAAGTATTGTAAGAAAGGATGTCAGGAAACCAGAAGCACATGCTACCCATACACAGCACATTTCCAAGTTGAGGAGCGTGCAATTCTTGCACCACCACTGCCAGAAAACGGTGTGAACGTGGCACCTGTAGAGCTCAAGTAGCTTACAACATCAGTTTTCCAGGTTCCCACTCAGATTTAATTTTATCTTCTCATGCAGAAACCAAAATGCATAGCACTTCATTTTTAAGGAAATATACAGGCATACTCTTGATGTAAAACGAATCTAAAACGGGCCCCGAAGAGACAGGTTTGGGACCAGAATCTATCTAGCAGGTTAGTATTATCTGGTAAACTACAGTCTTTGCTGTTGTAACAGAAATGACACCTTCAGAATCCTTTGGGGAGGGAAAAAAAAAAAAAATTTTTAACTTCAAAAGCCTGATTTTACTAAGTATTGCTTTTGTTAATTTAATTCACAAGAACAAGATGGCAGGCATCGTCCTTCTGAAGGGTGCTTCACCTGAAGGCAAACAGTAAGGAGGAGGAGAAAAGCATTTCTAAATCATTACTTAATTGCTGGGAGCCAAGAGCAACTGGCAGCTGGCTGAGAAATACTGACCAGCTACTCATCTGCTCTTTTATTTTGCCTCCCAACCTGCAGGGAACAGCCAGCATTCAGAATTTGAAATGCACATTCTGAAGAAATCAGTCAAGAATTTGTCAGCTAAGGAAGAGTAAAACATCTCACTTTATAGACTGACTAAAGGCTTTAGTCTTCAGGCCTCATGTTTACACTATTTCTGTAAGAATCTGGTGTGCAATTAAGAATCAAGATCTCTCTGATCAACGTAGGTTCAGATCTAATTTATGGAAATCAAAACTCATCCCACGTGGTTTTCACGTGCTGTTGTTACCTCTGTCCTGCTTTCAGGAGCTGCTCCAGAGAACAATCACTCCTAGACCTGCTACAAGGTCAGCACATCACTCATTTCAGCCAAGTGCCACCATCTTGCAGCTTAGGAAACTCAGCTTTCCCCTGAGCAGCGCTGGGACCAAAGCACCCTGACAAGGCAGAAAGGGAACTGCCTCCTATTAGTGGTGAACACTAAGAGTCATCACTTGCACAAAGAGATACAACACACAGTATGAGAGATTTTCAGGCCCAAGCATCAGTATTCAGCAACTGCAAACCTTTGAGTCAGTTTTGAACAAGCGATCTGCAGTAACATCCACCAAGCTCCCCAGAACAGTAACATAGCCACAGCTTTTACTCCAAACCGTGTGTTTGGCATTTGCCTTTTCAATCCCAGACTTACTTTGCCACTGTGTGAATGTGGAAGCCTTTCCTCACCTTTAACGTGGCAGCCAAGCTGGCCATGTGTTCATTCAGAGTGCTCTCCGACTCCTTGTAAGTCAGGCAGGTGAACTGATACTCCTCTGGATCAAAGGCATCTGCTCCCTGCTGCTCCACGTCGTTAGCTACCCCATCATAATAATCCTCAATATCCCCCGGATCCTCATCCTCTTCCTCCTCCTCGCAATTAGGGTCATAATCCTCTTCATTGCTGTCAGAGCCCTGGCTGTTCATGTCCACGGACATCTTAATGCCCTGCCAAACTGCAGACCAGGAAAGCAATTGCAGCGTCTTGTTCTCCTCCACACTTTATCGTTCTTTTGATTTCATCTGAGCTCTGTCTCCTAAGGAGGGAAAAACAATTTTTTTCTTTTGCCTAAGAAATGGTCAACATCATACAGGTGACCCGACAGACAGGAAAAGAGCAACCCAAGACCAAAGATGGTGCTGCACAGCTCCCTGGTTTGGATCTGCTGCAACAACTCACGCACTTGCAAGGCCAGGGCTGCTCTGACAGGCGATGTCTAAGACCTCAGAGAGGCGTTTACTACATGGCTGCATCACCATCCATGAGGGTCCCAGGATTTCATCATTTGGAAAAGGGCTCCATAACCTTCATCACATATCTTTTCAGAAATACATCTCGATTTACAACATTATCTTTTTAGGAACAACCTGCAGCAATGCAGGAAAACATCATCTGCATTTTCTCAACAGAAAAAACCAAACCTCTTAGCTATGATCACTGGAGCGAGGAAGGCAACCTGTGCAACCTGTGGTGCCCTGTACAAGTCCATATTGCTTCAGAAACACGGAATTCAGTGGGACTTTGGAAAACACAACAGGCAAATATACTTATCTTATGCACCCAATTTAACAGTCTCCAATACCATCTCAAAGAAACAGTGAAATTAGTTAATCCCCTTAATGAGGTTTTGCTTGTCGTGATGCGCCTTGGGCCTCACATCTGAGCAGGGGAGTAAAATAAGTGCTCTCACCTTATTACCTTACACATGTACTTACACGTCACCTTCTGAATATAAAAACTGATATGCTCAAGTGGTGGCAGCTACTGCTCGAGAGGAATAGGAACCACCAAGCTCATTGTTACAGTGCTCACCAGTACTGGAAAATTCACACATTTGACTTTACTTATCTGAACTCCACAAGCAGAAGATTTGTAACTAAAACAGCAAGAATGGAGTTCTGAGAGTGTCAGCAGGTAGAGCACTTATCAGCCTTAGATTGTGGTTATCTCACATTTAGTCACAAATTTCCACTTTACCAATTGATTTAATTTCTATAGAGAATATATTAAATAAATAAAGACAATTAAAACACAATGCTACAATTTTTAATGTACAAAAATTCATATATGAAAGTTGTGTTTTCTACAGGCAGCATATGTTCAGTTTCTTTTATATATATATGTACATGGCATTTCACATCATTACGTTGTTAACTCCCATCCTTGCACACATACACCCACAGTTTCACAATTTGTAGCTGCCAGGGAAACCATAATGAAGCTCTGACACTCCTGACTTTAGAGCACAGGAAATCTCTACCATCTGTTTCCACTACTTTCCCTCAACTTATTTGTTTTCTGGTTGCACTAAACTGAGCAAGCACCACAAATACACCATGAAGAGATGTGATGTACCTTCCATCTGAGAAGCTGCAGCGACTTCAGCAGACAGAAACCTCCTCCACTGAGTGAGGCTGAAAGCCAGGAGCTAATTATATTATCCCAAGAATTCTGGTTTCTAATTCCTTTGCCTCTTGAATTTCTGAGCTCACAACAGAACATGCAGATAATTTATATCACTGCCTCCTGCAGAAGTCCAAAGGAGCCGAAGCACCGTGTCTCCATGTTGGAAGGCTCCAGATGTGAAATCTGATTTTGCAGACACAAGGCAAACCGGTACTGTCCCTCTGTCCATCCTGCTAGGATTCACAGTTCAGCTCTGGGTTTAACCTGCATCAACACAGACCTCTTGCATAAAAGATGCAATGGATCTTTGCTGTTAAATCCAACGTTAAAGGAGTTACTCACGTGAGAACCTAAAACCACTCTACGGAGGTAACAGTAGCTAAACGTGTGACAGTTCTGCTCAGCAAACCTCAAAGCATCACAAAGTACAAGCTTGTTTCTCCAGTCAGAAAAGTTAGACTTGATCAGATCATCCCACACTTCACAGACAGAAGAAAACCACCACATTTAAACCACAGCCCTCAGTATACAGCAATACATCTCAGAGCAACAAGGTGCCCTGGCAAGACAAGGGGCACGCAAGCACCTGAGCAGTTACACACCAGCCCCAATGGAGGCACAAGCAGAGTCCTTTATCTGTGCCACATTTACTTGAACAAACGGAGGAACTGTTTGCATGGGCAAATCAGACACGTCATGCAGAAAACAGCCTGCAGGCTGGACGTCTTTTGTGAGCCCTGTCACAACATTCTGGGAAAGAGTTCACTTCCAACATAACTTACTGACAGACGGATGTGTGTGAATGACAGAAGATGACTAAAGCTTCTGAGGAGAAAACAAAGGAAAGAAAACAAGCAGCGTAACTCGCCCCACTCAGCCTAATGCCCTCAGATCCAAACATAAGCTCTCTGAATACAAACTAAGACAAGACATGGCTAATACTGATAGCACTAGCTGAAGAAAGTAAAAACGATAAACTCAAAAGAGAGGGTCAAAAGAACAAAGAGAATTTGGAGTAATTTAATTAATATCATAATCGTGAAGATCAGGTTATAAAATTCTAAACAGTATTTGGGTTACTTTTCTATGCAGAACATGAGGTCCTAATGTCACCTCCATCCAAAGCACTCCTCACCCTCTTTAACACCGATGTAATCACCCAGCCTCCCCTTGCCTTGCTCCAGGGGCATCCACAGCCCCAGCTCAGCACCGATCAGCCCCCACAGGATGCCCCATGCTGAGCTCTGATTTGAAACATGCTTCTTCTTTAGCAAGATCTCTAGAAATAAACACTTTCGGCTGTGCTACCAGCAGTCTCTAACCTCTCCACTAATGGGCAGTGAATTACCACATCCCACTGTGCATCTCACCTCACTGAATCACTCTTCTTTGATTTACACCCTCTATATCTACCCTTACAGGATTCCTCTAACAAGTCCTTTGGAAGATGCTTCTTTTTCCACAGCTATTTCACAAGATCCACATATTTCTGCAGATATTTCTTCTCTCATTTCCTCAATAATCATTCTGAAGCGAAGAGCTACCCCGGCCTGCCTCCCGCACCACCTCTCTGTGTAACTTCACCTTCTTTCTTCTGAACTCCAGCACAGCCCCAGCTGCCGATTTGATGTTAATCACATCCCTGTTTGTGTCACCCCAGCCCGTAATCCCGGGATCATCTTCAGCCGCTTCCTCGCACACACGGCGGGCACAGCTCTCTGCTTCCTTCCCCGCCGAGATTTCCGACGGGATTTTTTCATCCCAAGAGTGAGAAAGCAGGACGGCAGCCCCCAGTTTCCTTGCACAGCAGACAGCAGGGATCTCCCCGCAGCCACACCGCATCCCCGGGAATCCGCCTGCCCCCCAAACGCCCCAGGCTTTGTTCGTTCCCCCGCGCCGGCCCTAACGCGAAGGCTTCCCTCCTTCCCGGCCTACGATCCCTCGTACCAAGTTACCTCACGCGTGCCCACACGAGCCTGCCTCCCTCCCCCCGCTCGCAGCGCCCTATGAGGGAGCAGAGCGCAGTTTAAGCCTCCCCAGCCCCTCGCCGCGGGTGCAGGAACGGCCCCACACGCCGCCGTCGGGACGTCGTGGCCACCCCACCGTCACCCCCCGCCGGGGCAGCGCCGAGGCGACAGCGGCCCTCCGCCCAGCTCGGTCCTGCCCGGCAGCGGCAGCCGCTCCCCGCTCACCACCCCCCGCCGGTCCCGCGGGCCGGGCGGCACGCTGCGGGCGCTCCGCTCCCCGCGGCTCGGCGGCCCCGCACTTACCGGCAGCGCGGCGGGCGGGGGAGGCAGGGAGCGGCACCCCGGGCTCCTCCTGCCGGGCCGCCGCCGCCTGCGCGCCGGAAGCTCCGACCTCCACTTTCCGTCACTTCCGCCGGGCGGGGCCGCCGGGCCGCACCACTGCCGCGGGCCGCGGGAGGAGGGGACGGCGGAACCGCCGGGGCGGGGAAGCGAAAGCGAGGCGGGGGGCTTCCGTTCGGCGCCCTCGCGAGCCGGTGACACGCGGCGGCCGCGTCGGTGCCGGCGCCGGATGGGACGCCCGCCCCGCGCCCGCCTCGCTCCCGCCCGCCCCGCGTCCCCCCCGCGTCCCAGCGTGCCGCGCGGCCCGGCACTGGGGTAAAGGTCGCGGCGCGGCGGGGCGGCGCTCTCTCGGTAGGGACGCTGCTCCCCAGTTCTGTTTCGCGCCCCTCGTTGACTGTCGCCATGGCGGAACAGCCGCAGCCCATCAGCCCCGTGAAGAACTTCTTCGCCGGCGGCTTCGGGGGCGTGTGCCTGGTGTTCGTGGGACACCCGCTGGACACCATCAAGGTGAGGGACGGCGCGGAGTCGCCGGCCGTGCGGCGGGAGCGGGCGGGGAAGTGGCAGGAGGAACTACATTTCCCGGCGGGCACCGCGCCGGGCGGCAGCACGGTGGTGCGGGAGAACTACGGTTCCCGACGGGAGCTGCGGGGCCGCCGAGGACCACGACTCCCGGCATGCCTCGCGGAGGGGCCGTGCGGGCCTTGAGCGCCCCCTGCCGACATGGAGACCCCGCAGTCGGCGCTCAGCGAGCGTTACCAAAGCGCGGCGTTAATTCCGGAGCGTTCGCATGAGGTTGTTACCTGATATCGTCTCAGTAGTTAATTAGCTGAATACATTAGCTATTAAAGAAGTTAACTCTCGTTCTCTTAACTCCTGTAGAGAATAAATGATGCTAATGCTCTGCAGGCAAAACGAAGTCAGCTTGTGCTGCCCAGCGGTCGCAGTGAAGCGCTCTCCCAGTCAAAGGAGGGGCAGCAATACTCAATAAAGCAATGCCTTCTTGTTCCCTGCCGGCAGGTCAGACTGCAGACCCAGCCCCTGCCGCAGCCCGGCCAGCCGCCGCTCTATTCTGGGACCTTTGACTGCTTCAGGAAGACTCTGACTGGAGAGGTACCGCCACACTAATGTGCCATTTGCACCCCTGCCAAAAGCGTCAGTTGTTCTGTACGTCACAGGAATGGAATGGTGTGGGAGTGCCCCCTGGAGACTGTCAAAGTCCCGGGTTATCGGTTGGGTTGACTCTAATAAAAATTTTCATCAGTTTACGCAGCTTGAAGGGAGATCTCGTTGTATCCACTCGTCCCAAATCTCTCTTGTGGTTCAAAATAGCACAGTGTTAATGTCTGTGGAGTTCAGGACTAGACTTAATATTGGCTTTGTTGTAGGCAGTGGGCTTGTGCTGTCTTTGGTATTTGGAGTTGGCAGTGGAAGTTCTAAAATAGGCAGTGACTTCTGTTGGTTCAAGCAGTGCTTTTACTTTCTTCTGCGATGTGTTATGCCATGTGTGAGAAGGCAGAGGAGTGTTCATTTGAGTTAATAGATACGTGCATGTATATTTTTAGTGGAGCATTTACAGTAGTTTTGTTTAGCCTTCAAAAGGCAAACAATGGCTTTCAGTCCTGAATCAGTTGAATCATGTGATTGAACCGCAGTCTATTTTGTTTTTAGAAAGGCACGCAGCCCTGGTTTAAAGACATAAAGTGACATGGAGTCCACTTAGCTGCTTCCTAAGATTTTCCAGCAGCTATTTACCATTGGGAAATAATGACCTTAAAGCCCCTGGTGTTCACTTACTCGTGTTAAGTCTGATTTCTGACCACTGGATCTTGCTAGGTAATTCTCCATGAAATGAACAATCTGTCTCCTATCTGAAATCTTTTGTGGCGGTATTTCACGGGTTGTTATATAACCAAAACAAGCCTTACTTCCCTTACTTCCGTGGTCTCTCCCACAAAGCAGAGATGCTTTGCTAGCTCTGAGTTCCACGCAGTTTTTAACACCCCTGCTGAAGCACGGACGTCAGAGCTGAGCTGTAATAATAGCCTTCTGATGTCGAGTTCAGTCAAGTAAAGCTGCCTCTACTCCTACTCAGTGCTCATCTGTTTCTGCATGGAATACTGCTGAGCCTCTGTGCCTTTTGTTTCCAGTTGTTCATGGGAAGACGGAGCAGAAGAATCTGATCTTCGTCAGCCAGGCTGGATTTCATTGCAGTCGGCTGTGCCTCTACACATACAAACACCCATTGGGACATACTGACTTATTCTGGGGAGGGGAGAGGATAAATGGAACTAGCAAATATTTAACTTGTGCATGTAGCTTTTATCTAGAAAGATAAGTTCTTTTTATAAGAAAATATTCAGTTCAAAGGTAAGATGAAGTAAATACTGCTGCTGGGATCTGCATTAGAATTTTTCTGTACATGTAGCGTGGTGAAGAGAAACATCAAGGATGTAAAGATTATGGTGAAAAATTTTCAACTTATGGAAGGAAAAGAAAAAGGTTGCTCTTGAACTCATTCTAAATTGAATTATTGTGGGGAGTGAAGTAGTTCACATCAATGTCCCTGGCTCTTCCCTTGCCATGGATTTGATCCAGCACTCTCAGACTCAGCAATTCACTGAGTTCACACTACTGCATTTGATGTCTTACTGATAAAATACATCTATATTTTTTGTATGTATCTGAAAGGGAGGACTTCCAACAACTTCCAACACAAACCAATAGGACTGTCATTGAGGTGGCTTTTAACTTAACTTCCTTGTACTTGAGATGTAACTACAGGATGAGTAGCATTGGAACAGAAAGGTGTTGAAGATTACAGTGTTTCCTGGGAAGGATAGCTTTCCTCTGACACAGTTAAACAGGTATAATCATAAATGAGCAATAGATGCTGTTATTGTGATTAGTATGACTGACGTGCTGATACTATCCTATACTGTAGCATTTTGCTTGGAAATGTGCACAAGGCTTATGCAAAAACAAGTAATTCTTGCAATAATGTTTCCTGCAGGGAGTCCGAGGCTTGTACAAAGGAATGGCAGCCCCTATTATCGGGGTGACACCCATGTTTGCTGTGTGCTTCTTTGGATTTGGCTTGGGAAAAAGACTCCAACAGAAAAAGCCTGATGACATTTTGACGTGAGTTCCTCAGTTAACTGGACAGTTGGGAAAGGCACCGCAAGGCTCCTACAGCTTCCTGCATTGCCGTGCTTTGAATTGTGGTGTAAACTTGTCTTTTCTCCTAGGCTATAAATATAGTTCTAAAAAATAAAACACTCGTGTGTTTTAGTGCTTCTGGAAGCGTGGGACTGATGGCATGGGCTAAAAACAGACACCAAGTAGGCAGGTGCCACGCAGTTCCCCTTCTACGCAAGAAAGAGCCATTGAGGAACAATTTGAGATGAGTACAGTGTGAGTTATATAACAGTTGCTTTCGAACACTCACTATTAATGGAAACTATAGAATAAATAAATTCATGGCCAGGCAGTCTTGACAAAATTGACATTCCTGAATCCCATTCCTTTTCTCTGCTGGTTTTGACTTTTGCTGCTTTAGTTTATGGTAAAACAGCCATAGAAATGCTTTGTTATTAATTTCTGAAAAGCAATGTTTATGAGCAGCCCTCCTCTTAGGCACATCTGAGAGAAGGGAAGCAGAGAAAACTTCATATTGCTCTCTCCAGGTGAACTTAGGCGAGGAAAGCCCTCACCCATAAAGTCCTCCCTTAACTCCTTTGCTGTATTGTGATTTATAGCTGTCCAGAATAGGACTGTAGCTTAGCAACGTTTTATTCTATTATTTGACAGTGCATGGGAGCCCTGTCAGAACACAGGAGTTCAGTGTGTTGAGCCAAGCGTGGCAGGGTGGGGAGGAATGGTTTGTGTTGGAGCCTTGGCTGGGCAGGGCTGTCGCTGAGTGCACCTGGCGCTGCAGCTCGGCTGCTGTGATGGCCAGGAGCGAGCTGCCTCGGCCTGCGTCGCCCTGAGGAGGCAGGGCAGGGGTGCTTGGTGCTGCTTGCTCTCCTTGCTGTCAGGTTTACCAACTTTGCAGACAAAGCTGAAGGGTAAAACTGGGAGTGTGGGTAAGGAACTGAGAATACAGGGAAACAAAGGGGCTGTGGGCTTACTGCCAGCAGCCCAGCCATCTCTAGAGCTTTGTGTTTTGTACACATTGTATCAAAGGGAAGGTCTAATGGAGAAGGTAAAGTGCGGCGTAGTCTTTGGACTGTTCATGTAGAGCTCTTCCCAGGCAGAGCAGCAGGAGAGAGAAAACAAAGGTCAACAGATAAGAGGTGGATCTGTCATTGTGTACAACTGTGCTGCACCTTTGGTGCTGCCTTTGCACAGTGAGATACTGCATACTAAGGATGGCCGGGCCAAACAGAAAAGTCACGCTCTTAGCACTGTGTTGTGGTTCTGAGGCAGGCAGGATGGCAATATTGATTTTGAAGGGAGGTTTCGGAAGGAAGGAGATTGAAAAAAACTGATGAGCCTGTT